TGGTGAGTGTCAGACGGAGCTGTTTCGCGTGAAAGGCCACAAGGAAGCGATTCATAAAGCACCGACCGGTGGTGGATGATCCTCAATTAAGGAGTCCTCTTTTTAAGGTGATCGATCGTGAGTTGGAAGCCCGTTGGTTCTGCTAGGCTAGCTACTGTTGCATTAGAAAGATCGATAGGTGTGAAATTTATGAGTTCATGTCACCAAACTGCTAGTTAAGACAAGAGATCATAAATGGTGGGTGAATGTGAAAGTAATTGAAGAAGAGTTTTGTTTCTATCTTTCTCATTACTGAATGTATACAAGTGCGCGCAATGGATTTATACAATAAAGGCTCAGCTGTCGGTGCTGAAGAAGAAGAAGAAGAAGAAAGAAAGAAAGAAATATTATCCTCCTTTATCTAGCTATCAATGACAATGGGTTTCTGTCCATTATGATGAAGGGGTGTGGCAAGGATATGAGTAGTTGGTGGTTGATCATTATCACAAGTATGAGTTGTCATTTAACAAAGGACATTAGGCTTTAACACCCTCCTTCAAATTGATTATAATCTCTTAGCATCAATTTGTTTGATAATAGCCAATGTTGACATGCATTAATAGCTTTGGTAAGCAAATCAGCAGTTTGATCCTCCGAAGTCATGTAACTCAACTTGATCAAGCCATCACACACTAGCTGGCGAATATAGTGAACGTGTACTTCAATGTGTTTGGTGTGATCGTGCAGTACTAGATTTGTGGCTATTTGTATTGCACTGGTATTATCTACAAATAGTTGAATTGGATTAGTGCACTCGACTCCGAAATCACCCAATAATTGATGAAGCCATACGGTTTTAAAACTCACTTAAGACATAGATCGGTATTATGCTTCTGTGGAAGATTTGGATACCCGGTCCTGATTCTCACACCGCCAAGAGATGAATGAATTTCCCAATCTCACATACCACCCCGATGTTGATCGTCTAGTATCGATACAACCAGCGTGGTCTGCATTAGAAAATGCATCGAGAGTGACGTAACCAACAGAGAGTAGATAGATCCCAACCTCTCGTGATCCTTTCAAGTATCCGATTATCCTGAAAACTGCAACCAAATGAGAATGAAGAGGCTGTCCCATAAATTGACTCACCACTTGCACTGCATAAGCAATGTCAGGTCGCGTCGAAGCTAAGAAGATAAGGATACCGACAAGTTTCCTGAAAAATGTAGAGTCTCGTAATAATTCACCATCGTCAACGCTAAACTTGGGTGTTCAACTCCATAGGCGTAGAGCAAGGCTTGCACTCGGAGTACCTGGCATTAGTCAATAGATCAATGATATATTTCTTCTGAGAGACAAAAATATCATGAGTGGAGCGCGTTATTTCCAGCCCTAAGAAATATGACAAGGAAACCAGTTCCTTTAATTTGAAATGAGAATGTAGGGAGTGAGTGAGAGCTTTGATGCCATCCTGGTTACTGCCTGTTACGATCATATTGTCTACATATATGAGTAACAAAACTAAGGCCCCCAGGTTAATGATGGATCATTATCAATCCTCCGAAAATCCATACCCAAGATAGTACTATGGACCTTTTCAAACCATGCCCGTGGAGCTTGTTTTAACCCATACAAAGACCGCTTAAACAAACATACTTGATCTCCACGGGAATTAATAATGCCAGGAGTGCACTTCATAAAACCCAGCTTGAAAGATCACCATGTAAGAAGGCATTCTTGACGTCAAGTTGGAAGAGAGGCTAACCACGCATAGAAGCCACCGCTAGCATAGTACGTACAGTCTGCATGCGAGCAACATGCGCAAAAGTCTCTTCATAATCCACCCCATAAGCCTGTTTAAAACCCTGAGCTACAAGATGTGCTTTGTAGCACTCAATTGTGCCATCAGATCGGCGTTTGATACTATATACCCACTTCCAACATACTATTGAACAAGGAGGAGGCGGGCGATTGACAACAAACCAAGTATCATTTTCTTCAAGAGCTGGAAGCTCTTCCTTCATAGTTGTGTCCCACTTAGGGTGGCCAACTTCCTAGGCATAACATGTAGGAATAGTTACTGGAGTAATAGAGAATCCAACATAGTCATGAAGCCATGGTGGCGGTTGGCCCAAATTCGATCAAGTAGAATGCCGCGGGTCAGGAGGAGGACTAGGAGGAATAGTCAGGGTGTCTAGAATATAGCTTTTAGAATGGTGAGAGTTATTGAGAGTGGAAGTGGGTTGCCTATTAATGAGATGAATGATGGTATGAACTGCTTTGACCCAAAATCGAGTCGAGACATGTGCGTGAAACAACATAGCCCGAGTCAATGCTAAAACATGTTAATGTTTTCGTTCGACAAGACCATTTTGTTGGGAAATGCCAGGACATGATTGTTGAACTAAAATGCCCTGAGACTTAAGGAAGACATGGAGAGGAGTGGAGGAAAACTCCCCGCCAGGATCTGGCCTAATGATTTTAATTGTTTTTCCAAATTGAGTTTGAATCATGGTAATAAACTCTTTTGCCACTAGGAGAAGATAAGATTTTTTACGTAAAAAGTAGACCTAGGAATATCTTGTAGCATGATCTACGAATAATGCGAAATAACAAAAACCAACTCTAGAAATAGTCGGATTTGGACCCAAATATCCGTGTGAATTAGGAATGGCAATGAGGCAGGTCCGTATCTTGATACTCTAACTGCGCCGCTACCTTGTATTCTTCTTCGTAAGTTAGTGTGTAATGTGGTTAAAAAATATTGTGTTTACTCGATAGTATAGAGAAAGAAAATGCACACTAGCTTATAGTTTGGTGTTTCATGGGTACTTTGTTATCTACCGATCTCAATCCCGTAATTCACTATTTCGAATGACAATTGAAACACAATTCCAATCACAAGAAATTATATGTGTCTTTGAAATATTGAAAAACTCGATATGACATTCAGTACATATATCCCAAATACCGGTACCAAACCTGCAACTCAAACTAGAGTAACAGACAAAAGGCACAATCCAAGGGCCTAGGCTCTGATATATCAAAAAAACAAAAAGTGTAGTAGATTATGGTGTGTTATTCTCAAAATAAATGATTATAGTACGAAATGCATTTTAACATGTAATTTCAATATTATTATACCTTATATATGAATTTATAATTTTATTAATATTTGTAAAAATTATAATTAATTATAAATCCAAAAAAATCCTTGAAAATATGAATTTAAAATTTTAAGAACTTGACTGACGTTTGCAGGATTTATAAAACAAAACAGGAAAATGAAGGATTAAACTGGAAAAAGATAGTTCAAATAGCAAAAATTGCTGCCTATCTAGCTTGAACCCAATACCTTTTGAATACCAATCTACAACATATCCGGTAGACTGTAAATCTGTCTTGTTACATTTGACTCGGACGTTATATATATTTAACACTGAATTTATACATAATTCTCAGAATTTCTTGAGACTTTATACGTAAGTTTCAAAATTGGAGACTCCTATTCACCGGGATACGTCCACCCACTAGATGCCTCAGACTCCTATATAAGGAGGCCCAAGCCCTCCAAGCAAAGGACTTCTCTCTCTTCTCATTTTCACCACTGCTAGTTCTCTATCTAAACCTATTCTCTCTACTTTCCATATTCACACCATCATCTATCCCGTACTTACCTGAGCGTCGGAGTGTAGAACATGGGGGACACAACTACCTCTCCACAGATTCTTCCCCTCCCGAGAATATTAGACGAGAGATCAAGGCTCTTACAAATCGCCTAGTACTAATCAGGATCAAACACTTTGTTTCATTTCTTCCTTCTATCCTTCTCTAGTTTATCTGTTGTTAGTTATTATTGATCTTGGAGGAACTCTCTACTATCCTGTCTGATTGGGGGGAGTGGAAGAAATGGGAGTGTCGCCACCGCCGCGTAGGTCTTTCTTCTTTCTTTCTCTCCTCTTCCTTACTCGTCTATCTGTATCTTGCTGTCTCCTCACGCCTCTTTTTTTTTTCAGCGAGCAAGTCGGCTAGAATATCTCAGAATATAAAAGGGACAACAAGTGGGTTTAAACCAAAGCAGAGACAACGCCGAAGGTGCCGAATTCAATTTGGGAATTTATTAATTGCATCCCCTCTTTACCAAATCTGTTGTTTGTGGATAAAGAACCTTATTTTTCGCATTCAATTGAATGCGAGGAATTAGTCCGTTGCATTCTCTTTACCTATTTAATTGGTTGGTTGTGCATAGGATTTGTATGGTGTGACTAAGGAGCTCGCTCTTGTGCGTGGCTAGAGCCATGCATGCAAGTTAGTGGTCTTAAATGTGATATAGTAGTTGCTCCTTGAACAGCTCACTTGTTATCTCCCGGAATATCACCAGCTTGCAGCTTCACACCTAAAAGGAAGACATCTGGGTGCAGAGTGAATCAGGAAAACAACGAGCCGCAACACACACACACACACGCAAATGAAGGTGTTCTGTAATATTAATTATATCTACTTATCCTTTACAATTTTGATTGGATCCATTTCCATAATCAATCATCAGCACACCTTAAAAGTTCATAACCAACAAACAAAACTCCATTTTCCTTATTATTCATCAACTTAATATTTTTATATTTTTGTGTTTTATTCATCCACTTTCATTTTTATAATCAATATTTTTGGTTTGTTTATTTTTCTTATAGTCTTTTGTTTTCATCAATAGTCATTAGCTCTAAACTAACATTATAAAAATGGTGAAAGATAATTAAACCATTTTACCAAGTGAATCAAACAAAACCTTTGTTTTTTAATTAAGAGAAACTATCATAAAAAGGAAAATGTATAAAAAAATATAGAAAGAGTGTATACAAAATGATGGTTAACCGAAAATAAGAATCTAGCATTAAAAAAGAAAAGAAAATATCATATGAGAGGATGAGATGTATAATTTTGGTTTAACAAAAATATAAGTCAACTTGATTTTATGGAAAAAAATCGACATAATTGGTAATAATGTGGTTTTCTAGATGGCTTCCAAAAACATCTTATTCTCTATCCATTTCATCTTTCCAATTTGGAGTCTCTCTTGTGTGATGCTCCTTTCGTTCTGTTTCCTTCCTTCCCAATTTTGCATTTTCTAATGGACGAGAGACTATTTTGGACAATGATCAAAGGCAGAGAGGAGAGCTCTTTTTCTCCAAAGGACTTTTCGTGAGGAGGTTTTTATTGTTGTCCTCCCGCTGAAATCTAATGCCTTCTTTGACCTCCTGATCATGATTCTCGCCCTGTCGTTCAGAACATCTTAGAATTATTTATATTTTGAGAGATATTAGACATTTGTGAAATTACCTACATTTCTCATCATACCTTGCGTATGAGTCAGTTTTCGTTGTTCTAAAGAAACTCGTGCAACAAGCCCAGTAGAAAGTTCCTGAACATGCATGGATTGTCTTTGGTTGACATCAGTGATTGACATATTTGTCAACTTCATTGTGAATTACAATGTGGACAAGTTGGAATTGTGGAACCGACTTGTGTAGTTTCGTGATGTTCATAGCAATTTCTTCATGTTTGTCTCATAGACAAAGCTGTGGATTCTAAATTTGACTTCTGTTGTTCGAAGGGCCGATGTCTTTGGTTTTTCCATTTTTTGTCCAGGTACAATGCTAGAGTGAGAGACTCTTTGGTTTTGGACGTTAATTAAAGGTTGATGAAATGAGAGGTGAAAAAGTTCTATCTTTCTACCTTCTCTTTCTCTAGATAGTTAATACCGAGCTTGCCGGTGGTATGCAGATAGTTTTCCTTTAGGGAAAAGTGATTGTCAACCACCCAATTCAGAATGACCTCCACTCTTGCTGAATCCTTATACTCTACGGATTTGTAATTCATGTAGTCCAATAATTCCTGCACTGACAGCTGGATCGACAACTCCGAGCTATACTTTATGTTGTGCGCCGTGACATTACAAACGTTCGTGGCCTGATACGTGTTGGTACAGTCTTCATCCAACAGTACGCACATGTAGCTAATTATTAGAAGAGAGTGGAGATTAGGAGAGTCCTTATTACTATTATGATCCTCATAATTCTCTATTGCCTTTGTACCATATCGATTAAATACAAGAAATTAAATGACTTTATAAGGACAACTTAATTATAAAACTTAAGATGGATCACATGGATAAAGATTGTGGGCCCATGACACCCATGGCATCGTGTATGTGCTACTTTATGACATTCTTATTCTGAAAAATGGCTAAGTGTTGGAGCACACATCATAGCGTGATCAGGAGGCAATCAACATACCCCCTGGATCTCTTTATTAGGGTTGTCCCCTGACGGGACTCACTAGAATTGCTTTCCCGTTGGGGACCTCATTCCACTTGTCATCGCTATCTTTTTTCCAGAGGATGTAAAAAAAGCAAGACTCAAAGATAATTGAATGTCAGAATAATTACCTTGGGACATGGTTTGGGTTTGGCCTTAAAACCACTCGTTGCCCCCTTTGGGAGGCGAGACATTCTTCTGTAGCTAAGAATGTCCAGCTGAGTGAGAGAGATCAAAAGACAAAGAAAAGCAAAAAAACAAAGACTTAGAAAAGCAAGTGGGTGAGAGAGATGAATCGAGACCATGAGAAACCAACACAAAAAATGAAACAGGAAAGAAGGACGAGTTTACCTTAATGGATGACAACTGGAGAACTAAAACTGTTGTTGCCCCACCCACACAAAGAACGCAGGGAAGGAGATGTTGGCTAAGATAAGATTTCAGATTTTGGCGAGAGTGTTGGAGAATTGAGAGTGCGTGGTAATGGGTTAATGTGGTAGGTGAATTTTTGTCTTCTTCATTTTTTTTGTTTTCTTGTTCTCAAGAATTAGCGGTTAATTAGGTTTTTTATTTTTGTTACCTGTTTCACATTAGTTTTGGTTGTTCTCGATTTACATTGTAAGTGGTTTGACTCCGATGATGAGAACGAAGAAGAATGGGAAATCACGAGAAGGGAAACCATCATGTAAGCAGACCGATTAATTCGTCTCCCTCAAACACCAACCAAAGAGACATCCACACAGAGCTGGAGGTCATTTTGGTGGGGGGGGGGGGCAAAAGTATTTCCATAGGGAGACAAGAAAGACGTCATCACAAAGGATGGAAGATGAACAAAACAAAAGAAAAATAGAGATAGATGCGAAACCAGAGGAGAAATGAAAAAAAAAACACAAAATAAAACACAGAAAAAGAAAGTAGAGGACCGACGATTAAAGGATAAGGCAGCAAAAGAAAAACATTTGGACTACCACCGACAACAAAGAATACTGACATTAACTCATCCTAGATCTGGATTTGAAAAACTTCTAGTGAGAAGCGAGATGAGCTAAAGGTACAGAGAGGTTTTTCATTCAAAATACCACATTAACTAAACTCATGCACCCAAACAACGCGTTAATTAGTTTACCTTCCGGTTCTTGTCCCTAATGGGACTCACAAGGTTCGTTTTCCTGTTGGAATCCGACTTCCACTTGCCATCGTCATCCTTCCTCCACTTTCCCTTGCTCCAAAGACAAATCTTCATTGCCTCTATATAGGTCACGGAATCCAAAAATACCAAAATAATTAGCGAGGATGTAAGAAAAGCCAGGCTCTAAGCAAATTGAATATCATAATAAATATCTTTGGGGCATGGTTTGGGTTTGGCCTTAAAGCCACTCGTTTCGCCCTTTGTCTGACGAGGCATTCTTCTATAGATAACTCGAGGAAAAATGGAAATGGGTGCGCGAGGATAATCAGATTCATACATAGAGAAGCAAAAAAAAAATGGAGAGCAAGAGAAGCAAGTGGGTTGGTAGAGGGGAATCGACAAAAATCAAGACTAAGAGGCAATGAGAAACCATCATAAAAAGTGGGACAAGGAAGATGACGACCTGAATTAAAACACATATTATACCAACAAGACACATGAATAATAAATCTTATCTACCTCACTTCTTTTGTGTTTTCCTCTCCATACTATCTTATTGTTGTTCTTCTTTTTCTTTAGTTTAAGATACATCAATTTTCTCTTCTTATTTTTTATTGATATTATATTATTATATGATTGTCTAAATGATGCTGCTTATTTCTTGTAGGTTGTCAATGGATATTGTACCTAGTCCAACCTTCTTGTTAATATTTGGGTTATAATTTGATTTAAATTAATATAGATGTGAATTAATTTTTTTCTTTTGATAACAAGAAAATGTAACTCCTGTAGTAACAATATGTATGAAAGAACTTTTATGGCTTTATATGTGTCATCAATTATGGATTTATGTGTATCATCCTATTCTTATCAATTTCTACATGTAGAGAAATGAAAGTTACAATAACTAATATTTTCCACAGAAGCGAGTCTAAAAGAGCGCATGAAGTGTGATAGACCAATCGGTTCCAATAATAAACATCATCGAGAAAGAAAAATAGCTGCAAATTAGAATGATCAACTCAGGGAAATAAAAAGTCAAGAAAATGAACCTACAATAAAGTAAGATTTTAGTTCAAGAAGAACAAATGTGCCTGAAAGTTGTGAAAGTGGAGATATAAAAAATATCTTAGACGAAAATACTGGAAACAAGTCATTGTCGATGAATTTTTTTTGTTATACTTCAGTTGTGAATATGATATATACAAATGAGGATCAAGAGTAAAAATGTATTGATGCATACAAAGGATAATGTTATTGACCAATATAGAAAGAAAAAATGAAACTTGTTCAATGAGCATAAAGTTTTAGGACAAGAAGTCCTTACACTTGAAGATATAAAACTAGTGGGTTATAAAACTGTTTTGTTGCGCTAGTTAAAAGTGTAAAATTATGAGAGATATATCACAATGTGTCAGAAAAAGTTTCTCGAAGACACATGTCATTATTTGAGAGGAGACATATTCAATTTTAGAGGATGAAAATATTTTTGAAAATTAATTAAGTCTGGCAAATGGAGGTTTAAATCTACACTTATATATATAGATTTAAACCTCCATTTGCTACCCCGGGTGAAATCCGGGGTATCGCATACCCTGAGTATGAAAACGCTATCTAGACCTCGAATTAGCAGGATTTTTGGGCATGATACTATACCCTAACCCTTAATGAGTGAACCCTAGGTCCTAATTATCTAAATCATAAACTATAAACTCTAAGATGGTGCATTGATTTTTTTACCTATATTTGGACGAATCATAACCGTCGATTATTATTTATAACTAAATTGATATTGGGGTATAAGATTAAGTGAATTAAGACCTAGATTTTGATCTTTATGGGTTAGAGTATAGTATCATGTCTGAAAGATCAGTCAATTCAAGTTCTGGATAGCGTTTTCTTACTCAAGGTATGCGGTACCTCGGATTTCACCTGGGGTACCGTAGAACTCGCCATATATATATATAATATATATGGTGGCTTCTATGATACCCCGGGTGAAATCCGGGGCACCGCATACCTCGAGTATGGAAACTCTATCTAGACCTCGAATTACCAGGATTTTTGTGTATGATATTATACCCTAACCCTTAATGAGTGAAACGTAGGTCATAATTATCTAAATCATAATATATAAACCCTAAGATGGTGCATTCCTTTTTGTGCATATATTTGGATGAATCATAACCGTCGATTATTGTTTCTAATTAAATTGATCTTGGAGTATAAGATTGGGAGAGTTAACACCTAGATTTTGATCTTTAAGTGTTAGAGTATAGTATCATGTCCGAAAGATCGGTCAATTCAAGGTCTAGATAGTGTTTTCATACTCAAGGTATGCGGTACCCCGGATTTCACCCAGGGTACCGTAGAACTCGCCATATATATATATATATATGAAACTTCCTGAAGAAAATCATCGTAATGATCATACATGAAATTGATAATTTAAAATATTTGTTCAGAGAGTCACTTCCATGACAATCTTTGTAAAATGTGTTCGTGAAATTAGTATTCCATACTCAAAGATCTGGAGTGATGTTGGTATGAGGGAACATATATGCATTACACTTTTTTTTCCTTAACCATGGGTTTTCCCAATTAGTTTTCCTGATAAGATTTTGAACGAAACAGTATGAGATAATATAGCGCAATCAATATGTATTATTTTTTCCTTCATTGAGATTTTTATCCCGTTGAGTTTTTCCTAGTAAGGTGTTAACAAGGCAAACTTTCTTCTAATGGTCATCCAAGGGAAGTGTTATGAAAATATTCATTGTGTGGATGAGTATGACCACATTAATGCACATATGGTTATTACATGAAAACCCCCCCTCTTATTTGATTTTGAGCTTGATTACTCATTAGTAATCATTTTGTACATTGATTTATAGAATTGTATGTTGTATAGTTTTGTGACTATAAAAAAGCACGCATTGTACTAACAAGACACATGAAAAAAAGCTTTATTCCCCCAATATTCTTGTGTTATTTTCTCTCAATACTATTTTATTGTTGTTCATATTCTCATTTAAGGGAGGAATTGACTTTTGATGATGATTGTTGCAGCATAAGGGGAGGGAGGAACCAACCATCTATAGTATATATATATAGATGTAGGTGATGGGATGGGATGAATTGACCAACATACATGAGATGGAGGAACCAACTATCTCTAGCTTATATATATAGGTGTAGCTGATGAGAGGAATTAACTTTTGATAATGATTGCTACAACAAGCAAGTGATAGCTATATATTATATATAGGTGTAGCTGATGGTCGTTCTTCCAATGCGGTTTAATTAAACATATATAGTTTATGTCAGCGGTTTAATGAACACCCACCCACTCATCCACACATATATATATTGTTTATTATGTCAAGATTTATTGGTGAACTAAATTCAAATCCATTTTAAGAGTTTTTTTAGTACATACTAAAAGCAGATGTGCACCATCCAAATCGTGTAGTACAACGTTAGTTCAAATGTGCAAAAATAGAAGTTTCCTTAATGGGAAATCTGCGGAATTATGGAAGAAAATGAAGTATTTGAAGATCAACTGCGAGTTTCCATATAATACATTTAATAGGGAATTTGGCGTAAAAGCTAAGGGTGTTTGTTTGTAAAATCAAAGAGCTTCAAGACATATCCTTTA